GCCTTATTTCGGGATCCCTTTTTATATATATACATCTTTAACTCTTTCAGTCTGACCTGCACGTCCCCGTCCTGATTCAATATCTAGTGTCATTCCTTACTTCTAACACCATTCATCATGCGCCTTCAATTTCTACCTGATTGTAAAGTTAACGCCTTTATGTGAATTTATTTCATTATCTGGCAAGGGAATTGTGTAGTAAGGAGTGAAATGTTTCTTTCTCCTCCAATTCCAGTATGCTTCCCACAGCTCTCGCCTCATAAGGAAAAGGCCTCTGTCTGTTTGTTTGTTTGTTTGTTTTCTTGCAACGATTCTTTCTTTCACTTTTTTTCTTTCTTTCTTTCTTTCTTTCTATCTTTCTTTCTTTTGAAAGTCCTTCGATTCCCACTTGCATTTCACCACCTTGGCCTTGCAAGTGAGTCTCATACATTTTTTGTTTCTATTTTCAGTCGATGTATAACCATTGCCTAGTACACGAAGGGTCAAGTCCGTCCACTTTTGTTTTAGATTTCATGTGTGTCTTCAGTTGCACTCAATTGCCTTTGCATTGAAGTTAAAGGGAGTGGGGCAGTATCTCATACCACCGTATCTATTTCTGTTTCTAAAATCATGCATCTCTCGCGCCGCGGGTTGATATATAGCTTGGTATGCGAGTCAGGCATGGAGCGACGAGGGGGCGCTGGTCAGGGAGCATGTTGATGTGAGATCATGGGGCCGGGCCGAAGTGCGGTCGGGAAGTGGGTATGGGTGTGAGTGAGGGAGAGAGGGGGAGGGAGAAAGCGTCGGGAGGGAGATTGACATATAGGTAAATATACTGATAAATAGATAGATAGATAGATAGATAGATAGATAGAGAGAGAGAGAGAGAGAGAGAGAGAGAGAGAGAGAGAGAGAGAGAGAGAGAGAGAGAGAGAGAGAGAGAGACGGAGATAGAGATACAGACATTCAGACAAACAGATAAACAAAAAGAAAGAGACAATGAAACACACACACACACATACGCACACACGCACACACACACATGCATGTGCGCATGTGTGTGTGTGTGTTTGTGTGTGTGTGTGTGTGTGTGTGTGTGTGTGTGTGTGTGTGTGTGTGTGTGTGTGTGTGTATGTGCGTGCATGTGCTTGTGCTAATGAGTGATTTGTGTCCTGAACGAGTGCCTCGTCAGCCCCGAATGTCCAGCCCGCGGGTCATGAATCAGCCTCGCCTGAAGGTCGCCCATTAGCCGTGAATAAATGTGGTTTGAGACCTAGAATGAGAGTAATGGGCGTGAAATATATACGTTATTTCGCCTCATGAATACATTTTTTATAATATATAATCTTTTTTCTGTTTCTTTAGTATTCTTTTTATCTCTTTGTTTCTTTATTCTTGTTTTTCATACTGTTTTATTTCTATTATCAGACTTATCTTCTATACAGTCTGTGTTACTCTCGATTTTCTTTCCTCTTTCTAACTTTTTTTTATTATTTTTCTCCATATTCCTTTTTATCATTTTCCTTTCTTTCTTGTCATAGAACACTTCTCATTATTATATCCTCCATCTCATTTCCTATTTCTCATCTTTTTCATACTGTTTCTCCTCTCGTTCATTATCTTCAATTCTTCTCTTCCTTTTTACCTTCACATTTTCTTTTATCTCCTCTCCGCTTCTTCCTATTTATCATATCCGTCTCCTCCTCCGCCACTCCAGTGACATATCTTTCTGCTTCTCTTCCTCCTCTATATCATTATCTGTTTCTCCATCTCTCCATCATATCCCCCTCCTCCTCCTCCCTCCTCCTCTTCCTCCTCATCCTTCCTCCTCCTGTTCCTCCTCATCCTCCTCTCCATCACCATTATATCCACCACCATCTCCTTCTCTACCCCTTTCCCTCTCCATCATCATCATCTCTCCTCCTCCTATCCATCGCTGTCATCACCGCCATCTCTACCTGTTTTCTTCTCCATCGCCATCATTTCTCTTTCTCTTCACCTTCTTTTCTCCCTTCCTTCTTCACTTTCTTCTCTCACCGAAAACCCTGAAACAGGCGACCTAAAATTATTCGAAATCTAATGCATAGTAATTCAACGTCAACACAGGCGACCGAGAGCGAGTACCTGTTTATGACTCCGGACCCGTATGGTAATGAGGATGGTAATGAGGATGAGGATAAGGATGATGATGATGCTAGCAATAATGAAGGTGATAATGAGGATTAGGATGGTGATGCTGAGGAGGAGGAGGATACTGAATGAAATTATAATAATGATGGTAATATGGTAATGATAATAAGGATAATGATAGTAATATATGATAATGATTATGATATATAGAAATAATAATATTGATAATGATAATAATGTTGATAATGATAATAATAGTAATAATAACAATTATAATCATAATAACAATAATAATAATAATTATAATAAAAATAATAATAATAATAATAATAATAATAATAATAATAATTACATAACAGTAATGATAATAATAATAACAATAATAATAATGAGAACATTAATGATGAAAATAACAACAACAATAACAACACCGATTATATCAATTTTGATGACTGTGAGAGCGACAAGAAAGCCCCTCCCATCCCACGACTCCCTACCGACGTCCGTCCCTCCCGCAGGCGATGATGGCGAGCCAGCTGGCGGGCTCCTGGAACGCCACCCGCGCCCAGGAGTACATCATGTCCCACCAGCGCCCCGACGGGTCCTTCGGCGGCCTCTTCGACACCAACGCCGTCCTGCCGCTGCTCGGGGGACGCACCCTGCTCGACGTGGCCATTCGACGCTGCCCGAGGGTCGAGGAGGACGCCGTCGACCAGGAGGACGCGCAGGGTGAGCGGGGGGGGGGGGGGGAGGACAGGGAGAGGGAGGGTAGAATGGGGGGGTAGGAAGGAGAGGGGGAAGGAGGGGCTGGGGAGGGAGGAGAGGGAAGAGAGAAGAAGAGGCGAGGATGGGACGAGGGTGGGGTGGGAGGGGAGGGAGGGGGAAGGGAAGGGGTAGGAGGAGGGAAGGGAGAGAAAGACGCCGGGCAAGGTGAGAGGGGGGTTAGGGGAAGGGGAGGGAGAGGGGGGAGAGAGGGGGAAGGAAGGATTGGGAGAGGAACAGGCCGGGGAGGCAGGGTCAGGATATGAGGAGGACGGATAGCTAGGATAAAGAGGGAGGGAACGGTAGAATGGGAAGGAGGAGGAAGAATAGTAACAGTAATGATCGACAAGGTAAATAACAAAAGGTAAATAACAAAAGGTAAATAACAAAAGGTAAATAACAAAAGGTAAATAACAAAAGGTAAATAACAAAAGGTAAATAACAAAAGATGTTTTTTCTTTCTCGAACTTTATGTATTTTAAACTTCTGTAAAGATGGATCCGATGGATCTCTGTGAGGATTTTATATTGGTCATTATGATTATTATAATCTGGATGCGAGGATGGGATGAGGATTAGTTTATGGATAACAACAACGGAAGCAAAGTCGCCAGTAGTAATGTTGTGAAAATAATGATGATAACAATAATGAGGATGACACCAATGGTATTAATAATGATAATGATGATTTCCATTGTACGGATATCTGAATCATCTATCAATTCATTAATCAAGAACAAATATCACGAATACTATTGATCTGGCGACATCCCGAAGTCAAGTCAACGATAGAATTCGAGTAATAATTTTCCTCTAATAATAACAACTTCCGCTCTTTCAGTTGACAACTTCGACGCCCCCGACGGAGAGCCGCCCGTGCCCACCGAGAATCCCGATCAGCCCACGCCCACGCCCGCAGCGGAGGTCATGGTACGTAGTTTGTTCTTAACTTAGTAATCCCCGCACTGAAGCACAGACTCCTAAAAACTTTTCCTTTCCCCAGACAAATCTAATACTGAACTTGCATCTTTCCCTGATGAAAAACTATAACATTTACATTTTCATAATACGTGCCAATACAACTGCCTTTGAGAAGTTTTCCTTTTACTCTAATATATCCCCAGAAGAACAGCTTTATAAGAACATACGTTTCTCTTAAATTTAACTTTAAGAAGAACAGCCTTTTGCCCTTTACAAGAGTACAAGCAGGCCACGTGGAATATACATTGCCTATACCCCTTACCCTAAATAACAGTAAGATAAACCCCTTAAAAAATATATACCTTTCCTCTTTATCTATCCCCTTTCTTATCTCTTAAGAACATAGATTCTTCCTCTTTAAATTCAAACTTTACTCTCTTACCATTTACTACCGACAGCTACCTTCTGCTGGGATAAAAGTAGCCTCTTTTCATAATGCTTTCCCCTCTTACCTCTTACCTCGCAAAGCCTAAAACATCCCTTCCTCATCCCTTATACAGGCAAAAACAAGCAGCCTCTTTAAAACACACACAGAGGGGGAAGCATGTAAGGCATTACTTGCTTCCCCTCTTACACCTTACCTCATAAAAGGCTAAGAACGTCCTTTCCTCTTACACCTCATGCCTTCCTATAGGTATAAAATCAGCCTCTTTAATGCCCCCCCCCCCCGTCTTACCTCTTACTACCTCTTTTCAAAAGGTTTTTCCCTCTTACTCTTTACCTCAGTCTAAAAACATCCCTTCCTCATCCTGAGCAGGCTTTTTTACTCCCTTACCTCTTACTTTATACAGGCAAACAAACACCCGGCCTTAGATGCTTCCCCCATTTACCTCATACCTCATACAAGGCTAAGAACGTCCCTTCCTCCTCATGCGCCCCTTACCTTCTACAGATATGAAATCAGCCTCTTTAAAACATGCGCCCCCCCCCCCCTCTTACCTCATAGACTCCTAAGCCCTCCCTTCCTGCCTCCTCGCAGGCCAACATCACGTACATCATCTGGAAAGGAAACAACGCCACGGAGAACTTCAACCTGACCTTCAGCGTGCCTGTGAACACGTCCTTCCTCACAGTCATGAAGATGGCAGCCGAGCAGGACGAGCGCTTTGTGTGAGTTATGAGGAAGAGGAGGAGGAGAAGGTGGAAAGG